ACCGTCTTCTGTTTTGCTCTCTCAGCGAAGCCTTGTAAATCGCAAAGTGTTTCGAATAGGCTTACATGCAACTGCATCTCAACATCAACCAAAAGATCATTTTCTTGAGGAACATATAACGTATCAAGTCTGTTTGAAATTAATGAAACTCGAGTGTATTACACCTGTTTTCAAAATTACGCGACCAAGGACGAAAATGCTAGAGTTGACATGTCAGTTTTATGTCATTCGGTCAGGAAGTTCAAACTTTGAGTTTTGCGGTTCCTTGTCGATGTATATGCTTTGTATGCTTTACATAAACAGGCTTACAATGATTTTCAAGATATTTTAGTGTATTATTGCAAAATTTAAGCACGACAAAATCATAACATCACCGTTATAGTCTAGCGCACATGTTTTATACTGACAGCTAAATTCGAGGATAAATTGTTATTTTTCAAACTTTTAAAAGTCATTCACGGCACATATTTCTGTTGTGATGGCTTCAATTGTGCTTTAGTTTGTATATCTCAGTTATCTAACTCATTCTTGTTCAGTTTTGGTATTAAATACGGTTTAAAATGTCTTTTGACAGTTTGTTTACGTTTGCTATTTTTAGCAGTTCTTGTGACATAAAACTGACATTTGAAGTAAGAGTATTTTTCAGGGAGGTCGCGTAATTTTGAAAACGGGTGTAAAGGCTCTGTGGTAAAGGTTACTATAGTTTACCCCAGTCGTAATGTTGCTATTCCAACACCTCACGACAAGCAATCCCCATTGGCATAACAGCAAAAACATCTCTTCCTTCAAGTAAACAATAAACAGTCTGTTCTTGTTCCATTTGTAATCGCAAAAAAGTGATCAATTTTCGAATTTTAAGCTTATCGAGATTTATCGAGAGCCTTTGTGACAAATCACCGACCTAATTATAGAATCCAACAGCAAACAGCCAATCGGAAAGTACAAAATACCGGGCCTTGCTTGCAGGCCCACTATCAGTTCCCTTGGGCCTGCATGTGGGCTATGTTTGCCTTTGTATTTCTTGTAAAATAAGACCATCATTTAATAATAATAATGAACACCTTATTGAATTTCTTATGTATATATACAATTCTAAATCTCACTACTGACTTAGGTA